CTTGGTAAGAACTTGCTCCGTTTGGAACAGCTTGCACAAGCTACCCAAATATGCGTCCCAGAAGCGCGCACGATAAAATTGTAGAAATCTGGCAAATCGCCAAGTCGCCTGAAAGTGGCGATTCGGCCTAGTCGGGTGAGGTATGCCTTAGGCCTAAGGCATACCTCACGCGATTCCGCCGAATCGCCACTTTCACGCGACTTGTCGATCTGCCATATTTCTACAAATCCATCGTGCGCGCTTCTCGAACGCATATTTGGGTAGCTTGTGTAAGTCGTTGCAAACGTATCAAGTTCTGACCAAAGGCAGCGCGTTAACAACGAATAACGAAGAGTCGCTATTGTGCCAAATTGCGTAGAGACCGGAATCGCGCGAGGTATGCCTTAGGCCTTACGCTTGATCGGAAAGCGATTGATTTTTTCCTAAGCAATATTATAGCCTCGTCGCTCTTCGAACATTACTGAAATTTATTATTCATATGAAGAATCCATTCAGTCAAATATTTTTGAAGCGGCTTCATCATATTATGCTCGAGACTTACGCCATAAATGCCGAATGCTGCACATTTCGCAAATTCTACACAAAATTCTTGCTGCACTTTTCTCGGAAAGGATAGGTGCCTAGAAGGTTTATCCCTAGGAGAAAATCCTCAAACCTTTACAAAGCAATTGGCTCCCTTCCACATAAAATCAAAATCCATTCAAATTGTTTACATTATAGTTGGCGGGTAAATTCTGGTACAATTCTGTTCTTTCGTTTTATTTCTTAAAAATCTAATGAGGAAAACTACCTAACTTAGCTCGGCCTTTTGGCAAGTGACATATATATTCTAAACCAGCTTCAAACGCTAAGTTCAAACAAGCTATTCTCAGGTGGACCATTCCGAAGTGAGTTATCCTGCGCAAAGTTGGCACGCTAATGAACGTGGGAAGACTGCTTGTAGATAAAAATCTGCAGGAGATATCGAATTAGCACAGACACAATCTCTTCTCACCTAAAAAAAGCTTAACGCAAGGGTGATACCCAGGGTTGAGCGTGAGGTCAGGCGCGCCCGAGCTGAGGGGTCGTATTGGTGGTAGGACTAGGGGGGGGGGGGTCGTAATCAAGAATCGAATTCTCTCAACATTAAGGAAATACTACGATCGAGTAAGGTGAAAAAGAAAAGCTTTAGACCGATGCATATCACAACTCCAGTAGAAATGAAGGAAGGACTGTCGTGACCACTATATTGATTGACTCTTTCGAAGTTTCAGCCAAATTGCAATTCTCCATCCCTTATCTGGCACTACACTACTAAGGTCACCAAAGAAGCTTGCTGTGTGAATGTATAGTTTCCGTAATTAGCATATCAACTCACCTCTACTAGCACTAGAGACCATTACCTATTACATTTGCTAGCATTTTCTATCTTCTAAAAAGCTTGAAATTCAAACATGATTAACTTGGTTTCAAAAGTGAAAGAAGTCAGCTTTTTTTATATTTATAACAAAGTAATGTTCCCTATCAGTCTATACTAGAAATTAGAATTCATATCGCTTTTAAATAGTGCATTAGGAAGTACTGCCAATTTTCCAAACATCGCGTTTTTCACCTTGCGCGCATCAACTCCGCGGATTACCGCAAAGCCGAAACAAGTCGCTCAAACACCTACTAGAATGTTCGAGGTTTGTGCTAGCGAATTACATAGAACTTGGATGAAAAAGCGTCTTTGGAGATAAACTTAATGGGGTCGGGCGCAACCCGCTAAAAGGTCAGGCCGCCTGAGTTTTTGTAGCCTTGCGCCTAACCCACTTAACATGTCTTTAAAATTTAGAAATCAGTCTATTCCTGGTATGAGTATTGAGCTCATAGCCTCTTCTTGCCTCAGTGAAAATTTGGAGCAAAACACTCCACTCTTGGGGTAGTTCTGGCTCGCTCAATAGGGCGATTCACATCTAAATTAGCCGTTAAATTGCGTGTACTTGTAGTGTGCAATCACAGAAAGGCGATCATACAGTCTCCTAAAATTCAAAAACTCTGCAGGACAGACTCGTCTTCTTCAGAGTGTCACACTGTGAGGTTCCGGAGGTGGAGAGGATTAAGAGGAGGTCGTTTGGGGTCTTCCTGGAAGGGTGAGGGCTCGTTTCCGAACGACTTGTGCCTGATCTTTTGCTCAACTCTGGTGATACCACTTACAATGGGGGGATAGCACAATCATGTCCGCACACGATCACATGAGCTACATGTTAGGCCCGGTCAGCGCACATTCGCATGTTAATATGAAGAAAACTTTTACAAAATTATCACTATTTCCAGTCTCTCCGTATCATCCTAAACGATGCACACAAAAACAAAAATTTTCGACAATTTTTTAATTTTTTTATTTGTTTTTCACCCCTTGTTTTTGGCGTTCTAGCGGCGCCAAAGTGCTGCCATAAAAGAGGCTATGCAAAAATATTTATTTTTTTTTTTGCACATGTGTGCAATAAAAAGTGAAAGTTAGAGCGTCCAACTCAACGAACTCCAAGAGGGGTTCGTAACATCTAACAGACAAATGCACATCAGGTCCACCGCTAGAAATAAAGGCTTTCGTAAAATCAAACTCATTAACCGCTATAGCTGAAGCCGTGGTTTTCCCAAGAGTAAATATATAGATAATAGTTTGCGCACCAGTCGGTAAAGTCTGCGCTGGTGCGGCCCTGCCCCCTGGAGCCTTCGGAATGACATGTACACCGTCTGAACCCAACTTCTCAGAACAAAAATGTTCTAAAAAACCATGGGAGAGAAAAAAACACAATCAAACGCAAAGAAATAAAATTTAAAAATGACAATTTTGAGTGTGCCTATAAAGTTGTCGTAAATGGCATCATTCATCCTACGACTAGACGCTAGACCGCATTGCACACATTGTCTAAATAAGCCTAAACATGTACTTAGCAGGCTTATACTTGTCGTTCATCTCGTCCAGGTTTATTCACTCTTTGGAAACAGAGGGCACAAATTCAAACTTGTTACGACAATGTCCGAATACGGTTTCGCGTCTCCTAGTCATAGAATAGAATAGATGATAGCTATTTATGCATTTGCGGTATCAATCATACTGTTGTGTACGTGTACGCCCCTGCCATGGCCCACTTCTGGAATTTCCAGAATTTTACAATAAAGTGTAACAGAAATTATCCAAGCTAATAGATTGTGTATGAGCTGTAACTTTCAAAAAATGTGCCATAGAATTTCGTGCCAATCAGTGCAATAAAATGCAGCGTTCATTGTTGACTTACATTATTTATATAATGTGTCTAACGCAAAGCGAATTTTTCAAAACTAATATTAGGTTGGAAACTAAGTTTTGCAACTCTCCTCATAACTTCACTCTCTTTGAATTCTGCGCACTCGAACTTTGGCCATATATAGAACGCAATACGTTCCACAACTGTGTACAGATTATGTGAATTTTGTAAACGGAATAGAGAAATTAAAGGCACTTCTCGAAAACTAACGAATTCCGAAAATTTTTGGGGTTTAAGTCAAAATAAGGTCATTGGCATCCTAGGCCATGCAAAAATGATCCGAAATTGTGTGTTAATTATTGTTGGCGAGTTTTGAGATTTCGAACCCTTGGTCATTAACGGTTGTCTCCAGCAGTCTCGTGTGTTGCGGCTTGTTCAACTTGTGAGGGCGTCAAATCTCAAGTTATCTTTAAAATTCACTCCTTTTTTATTGAGTTAAATAAAATCACACTTCGACATTTCGCATATTGGGGTTATTGACCTGATGAACACAAATGTCATATTCATTTGTTGAAACAACGCCTTCCACGTTAAGAATGAGACCTTAAATTAGAATGTGCCCTAAATTACAGCAATCTTACAAAGAAGCCCTCGCCATGCAATTTCAGTATCGTTTTCGTGATCGGCATGTTGAATAACTCCCTTATGCCTAGTTCCAGCCAAATCTGCAAGATTTTATAATTATTCCCCTTGATACAGCTACCGTAACCTCCCGACGTCGAATTTGGCAGGAGAGCAGCTGCTTTTGTAGCTTACTTCATAGCCCACATAATGGCAAAACTTGAGGGCGCCATGATGAGAAAGAAGAAAGTTATCGAAGTAGCTGCAAAACTTAGCTTCTAACCTGATGATTCAGGAGTTTTGGCGCATGACTTATAGAATAAGCTGCTGCTTGGCCTACGTGGGTGAGAACAATCAAAGGGTGGAGGGGGGGGGGGGAGGCTGAGGGCGAAAGAGGGAGAAGAGAAGGGAGAGCGAAAAAAATCGGTTGTTGGAGGGACAACGACTACAAATTCCCAAAAATATGAACTGTTTCCCAAATTTTCAGTGACATAAGCCCTTATAGCTTTGGGCTTTGAAAAGTGCGTTGGTGCCGCGTCTCTGTGATTTAAAGAACCGATTTGACTCCTTATGAGTTGATACAAAGATATACTCATTCTATTCTATTTCGGGAATTAGATAAATTAGCATGAAAACATGATTTCTAACTAGATACGTTTTATTCTAGAATTTATAATCATTGCTGATCACGCAAGATAGTCACGTTTACTGACCTTCTTCTTTGCTGAAGAGATCCGGAGAATGTCTGTATTCATTTTGTCTAAGGTTAGGAACGGAACGAAGTGTGGTAATTCTTCTAAATTATTCAAGAAACCTTATTAATATTATTATGAGGAAATTATCACAATAAGAATGTAAACAAAAAGTACGACTTAAACTCTATTTGGGCCTCTTTTCAAAAACTTTAGAACTCATGATTCGTAAGGAAAGATACGTCATAGTTTTAGACTAGGCTACTTTCATTCACATAATGCAGTAGCTGTCTACTTCGCACGCTATCAACTTTACTGAGTATTTATTACTTATTTATCATTAGCGGAAAGCTTTCAATCTTACTTCCTTGTTGAAAAAGCGCGAGTATTTATCCGCGGGATAAACCGCCTAACGACACTACGTCGTCACAGCCGATGACGTGCGTCGTGAGACGAACGAATGGGCGCCGCCTCGGGGCTTCTCAACGATCGATTCGGTCCTCACTTCTAGCTACATGCTGTGTGGCCTGTTGCTCTCCTTGGGTTTATTAGCCCTAACCTCAGCAGCCCCAAAACTACCCCAAGATGATGGCCCACGGATGTATGACCTGCCTAGCGAAGTGGCATCTCCATTTGAGGACAATGGAATGGTAGAACCGGAAGAAGAAGTGGAAAAGGAGCAGAGCGAGGTAAGCAGTTCTTTAAATTCAGATGAGACAACTTTTTTGAAACCTGGCATCCAAAAAATATGTACATTCTTTTCTTTTTCTTTGCTCTTTGCCTGCTCTTTTCATACTGAAACAATTTCTGCGCGCACTTCTCCACATCGAATAATCCGATTTTAAGATCAGATGTTGCTGATTCGTCCTCTTCTAAACCCATCCTCCATGGCAACTCGTCTCAAAAACGATTAGCTGAACTGATTGCTCATTCACCAGATACTCTTTGGTCTGATTCCCCCCAACAGAATGACTCAATTACATGCTATCACGTTACCTCCTACTAAAGATCACTGCAAAGAGCTCTCCGCTTGACGTGTAATGAGGTTGGGCCATATTTAGAAGCGGAAGCCAGCCCGTAAAGAGACGGAAAAGGAGTCGTATTGGTGGTGAAGTATGAACTATGTATGACCTTTCTGTTGTCGAAGAGCTTATGCACTTTCGAAATGAGGAAGTGACATTAAGAAACTGTAGTGAAAGGAAATACCTCTTGTCACTACCAAAAGTGTTTACGAAAAAGGACTTTCGAAAGCTGTGTAGAATTTACACCTGTAATCTAATAGATTCACCTGGGGATAATCGCCAATTTCTTTTAAAAGGTTGATGAAATCTGCACCTAAAAATAAATGGTGCTCTTCAACTTGAGAGCGCGAAAATTGCTTGCTAATTGAGACTCCCTGAAGGTAAAAGCTAGCAGAGATTGTCAAAATCCCCTCTTAGTACCAGGGTAGCGGTGCATAACTCTTTTCTGCTAGTCTGATCTCAAACTCGTTGCCATTTTTGGCACAATTTTAGAACTTCAATGGCAAAGCAATCTATCATTGTCATGAAAATGGCTTCTTTGAAAATTCCCTTGACTACAAAGTATTTTGTGAGCTTGAATCTGCAAAAATTTGCAAATAAAAATCACAATTCGAGTCTCGGAAACTAAAGGTTTTTATATGGTGCTTATTCGTTTTAGGCCCTTTACGATTTATTGACTTCTATTCGGTCATTCAAAGTAGTTTCACAGATATTAGCTATCGCTGGATCCAGGTGGATACAGGTGTTTGGAGATATCGTGCACACTTTCTTTTAGGTAACTTCAATCTTTTACCTAGCTAATAACGTAAAGGATGTGAAACCATTCTCACACCTATGCACAAACCTAAGATTACGATTAGAGCTATGAATCATTACAAGTTCAAAAGCGCTTTACAAATCTCATACTAGATGAGTTTGGACACAACATTTTTCTTTTTTCTCATCAGTCTGAGTTGTACACTACGTAATCCCGGGAATTCATCTCTTCGCCATGAGAAATAGATTTTTGTATCTTCTCCGGATTTCACCTAGCTAGATAGTAAAACTTTCTTGGGTCACAGCTTCAAACTCGATAAAATCTGTCTAAGTGTGCAAAGAAGTTTTAAGAATAAAAAACTCTTTTATGAGGTTTTCAAATGGCTGTATTTTCTATTTTATGAATGAGCACAACACTTTTTATCCCATGCTAACAGTTGGCCCTAAGTGTTCATGTATGAAATATCGTGATAAATTAGCGTTTTAACAAAGCCTCACAAAGCGAAATTGCTTTGCTAATATTTTTGATTGCTATAATACCGGCCAAAGTTTTCCCTTTGGATAATCTCAGAATTGTTTAAGTCACTTTATAAGAAAACAATAAGCTCCTTGCAAATCTTTTCTTCCTCGAACGTAATTTTTAAAATATGATATTAATACTACATACAAGAAAATATGACTCAAATATACTACAGGAAAAAAATTATGGCTTTGTAGTCATCCGGTTAACTGAAATTTTCAAAGTGAGTGTACACAACCTAACTCATAATGGCAGCAAAAAACCTCTGCATTTCAACACAGACTGTCAAAATTTCAGAAAAGTTTAAGAATTTTAAAATAAAGTGCTTGTTGAATATCTCTTATCGTTCTTCTATAAGCCAAAGCTTTCAGACAATTTCGTTGTACGGTAGTCACATTATTTATATGACTACAGTAAACCCTTGCAGGCCTACATTCTTCCCGTATCGAAACAACTCGGTGAGATTGGAGGACTAGCCATCGATGGTCGAGGTCGCCTGGTCGCTTTCCATCGAGCCGAGCGTGAATGGGACGCTAAGTAAGCCTCTAACTTCTCTCCCTAACTCAGTTTTCTTCGAATCCTGCGACGCTCGAGCTCTGACTCCAAATTGAGTTTGTTGTTTGCTTCCTGGTTCTACTCGCACGCATGTAAACAACTGTGAGATTTGTCTCATGTGTATTCTGACGGCAATGAGTCCTGAGTTCCATTCGGCTCTCGCCTAGACATTGATTAGCCGAGCAATTGCGAGCTCTCATTTTTTATGAGCTTGGGAGGGGAGAGAGGGTATAAACAAGCAACATGCACATGTTTCATAGTTTCATTTCAGCTCATTTGATGAGAAGGAGAAAATCAACAAAAAACTCGGACCAATCAAGAATGCCACTATTGCCATTATCGACACCAGTAATGGAAAGGTAATTGCACACTAAAATGATGTGAGAGCGCCTTGTAAAATCAATAAAAGCTTGTACTGGGGAATGAAAACAGACAGCATAACTCCTTTTTGGAGTAGGGAGGGAGGGGATTTCACAAAACTGAACTTAGGGCGTAGATGCTCAAGTCATACCAGTCTGGTTTATTCCCTAACTGGAGTCTGATCCCTTTCAATGCCCTAAGGTTTGTTATAGAGGGGAGAACGGGGAGTTGTGTAGAAAACATATATTCGTCCCAGTGTTATATATGTACCCTGATTGTTTTGTAAAAAATATATTTTGTAGCCTATCTGTGGAGTAGTCATCACTAAGAGCAGTTATTTCCTCGAGGTATTCTTCATTCCATTTTAATCTATACTTCAATAACCTTTCCTAACCAGACGCAGATTAATAGGGCTAGTAGAATATAAGAACGAACCGAAGCTTTCGTACTGGTAAAGGTTGTAAAAATCAAAACTACGCGCGTACTTTGTCCTACTTCAAGCAAATAATTTTCATATACATAGATATTTCATCAACAAAAAAAATCAAAAACTTCAAAAATCACATCTTAAACAACTTGATCATTGGCTTTAGGTTCTTGAAGAGCATGGCAAAGGCATGTTCTACATGCCTCACGGACTAACCATTGACGAAAAAGGCAATTACTGGGTGACAGACGTCGGAAGTCATCAGGTATGCTACTTTTCGGAGACGAAAGGTCAACCGTCAACGCTAATTAAAAATTATCTGTGCAGATCTTTGAATAGTTCAGTTTAGGTGCACAAATTGGACTCTTCATTCAAGCCGCTTCTGACTTTGGGAGAAAAACTTGTTCCCGGAGATGATGAGAAGCATTTCTGCAAACCGACCGATGTTGCCGTGGCAAAGAATGGTTATTTCTTCGTTGCTGATGGGTACTGTAACAGCCGTGTCATGAAATTTGATCCTAGTGGAAAATTTGTGGAGAGCTTTGGAGCTGCTGGAGGTAGGTACATACATTTAGAAGGCTTTTGCAATTTGAGATTCATTGAAATAAATCAAATTTTCGACAGAGTCTCTTGCCGAAGAGCTAGAATAGATTGTAGTTGCGAGTCAATTTCAAAGAAAATGTAGAAGCCACATCTTCTCAATCTTGCCTGCACAGATTATAAAAACAAGCAAGTAATATTTTTCGTTCAGTGAATGAGCAGGATGCTTCTTTAAAGTCATTATCAAGATTCGCATCAGCTTTGTAAATTTTCTTTCCATTTCATTTTATAAATTTCGATGTAAAAAAGGGAAAGGGAAGGAAGAAAGAAATGGTAAACACCATGTTTTTGAACAAATTTTATCACATCTTTTGAAGAAATATTTTGGGACCATCACTTGTAATTACCAGTTCAGCAGCGAAATTAGCATGCTAGTATTTGATTCCAGAAAGCAGCTAATTAGCTTGATTTAAATCTTGCTAATTCAGTTATTGTGGTTTTACGTGCTTGAGAGCCAATGCATAACAAATTTGCCTAAATCGTTTTTAGGGGTTAAACGCCTTCTTGATCTCTAGTCTACATAAGCTCTGTGCGAAGCGTGTGACGGACGAGATTTTTTTAGGCACCAAAAATCAGATATATTTTTGATCCCTTTACGTCCTCAAATTATACGTCTGTCAGATTTTGGAAGACAGCATCATTTCTTTAGACTAGTGTTCTTCGCGCATTAGCACTTGGCGTAGTTGCCATATTTGGAAGTGAATATCTACATTTTCACCTGCTGTAAATACCTAGGCAACGACTTCTATATTATGAAACCTTCCAAGGAATGTTCAATGATTTTTGTACCAACTCTATCATTGTTTTCACTAATTTCAACTGATTGGCTACATTTGTTCACATGGCAACACCTAACAATTTCTTCTTCCTTGTTTGTCTCAAACAACTACCCTAATTTCCGGGGTATAAGGCGCAGTAGCTTTTACCGCGCGCGAACTGACTTACGATGACGTTCGCGATGCGCGGCGCCGCAAAGCAGCCAACAGCAATCTTTTTCACCCACCACTAGCTTCTTGCTCCCGTTCTTTGCTGTTTTCCTCTCAGTAGTGATTTGTTTTAAACATCTCCACTTTCTCTTTGATTCTTCAAGAATGGCAAAAATAGGACAAAAACCTTTAAAATATCACTGGTATTATTGTAAAGGATAGCACAGTTTCAGTACCAGTAGCATTATTGGAAATGAAGGAAAGCACAAATGAGCACCACCAGTAACATCAATGGAAGCAAAAGAAGAAACAACTAAATACCATAAACACCAATGAGCGCTTTCCTTCCACCTGTAAAAACGATATCAAAGTATACATTCTGAGAAAAGAAAAAAAAATACCTGGAGGCAAGATTTATGAGCTGTAATTCCAGCTTTTTAGATTTAGAGAGCAATCATATAGAAAGCGTTTTCGCGCCATTGTTCGCTGCGGCGGGTGCGCCTTATACAAGGTGCGCCTTATACCCCGGAAATTAGGGTAATTACTTTCCCATCCTTGTTTTGCTACACGCTTCATGAGTGTTCAATGTACATAATTGTTTTATATGAACAAACGCACGCATTACAGATGAATTCGGACCGTCGGAATTCCTCATCCCTCATTCACTGGCGCTCATTGAAGATATGAACCTCATTTGTGTAGCAGACAGGTGAGCATTATGTAGTAATCATCAACTTCATCACTTCTAACAAGACAGAGGGATTTTTGAATTTCTTTGCATATTCATAAATCAGTCGGAGTAACATGCAGAGAATCAAACTGGAAAAGTAAACAAATTAGAAAAGAAAGGATAGAAAGCGTAGAACTTCTGAATGGAAAGGTACGAGAACTGTGCGCACATTCACGTTTGATTGAAGTTTCATATTCCATTCCTCTTGCAAAATAAACAAAACATTAAAAATGATAGTGTGAATCAATAATCACAATATTTTGACCTTTTTACAATACAAGGATCCAAATCAAATGCAGCCTTAGAGTCTTCAGCTAGCGTCTATAAGTATCAAATTCAAACTGAAAGATGCACTTGATATTGCGAATCCATTTTGAAAGCAGTTATTGTAAAGAACTACATATACTGATAAAAATAAGTGGGGGACATTTTTCCAGCTGGAATTTTACCCTAATGCAAAAAAAATTGGGATCGAAGAGCAACTAGTAGAGAAATTTTAGCCCCTCTCGTTTCAGAGAAAATGAAAGAGTGCAATGCTTCTCAGCTGGTTTAGCTGAAGGACACCGAACAATCCCAGCTGGAATCCCAATCACTAGTGCTGAACATATCGGACGAGTATTTGCCATTAGAGAGAAAAGTTAGTAAATTTCTTGGATTTCCCAGATGCTTGAAGAAATGCCCGTTACAGAGCACTACCTCGTCGGTGTCACTGGTCGAGATGAAGAAGATCAGGTCCCTCCTCAACTTTTCGTAATGGATATGACAAATGGAAAGGCAAACACCTTTGTTGAGGTGCCGTAGATCGTTTGGAATTATTTTCATAATGGTTCAAAATTTTTCTTTCAGGGAATCGAAAACCCGCATTCACTAGCAATCAATGACGAAGGAACCGTGTACATCGCCCAGATGCATCCGAATCAAATCATCCAGATCTCCCTTCCTGATCAGGTCTAAAGACATCGACCGACGACCAGCACAACTTTTTTCTCTGTGAATTTATAACACCGATTCTTTTACGGGCCGCTGCTGAGGAGACTTCTATCGTTACCCCGTAATTTATAAATGTGAATAATGATGCCAATATTTTATAGTTGTTACTATGGGATATGTTGCAAAAATTGCGGTCATAATAGCAAAATTTTGTAGAAAGCTTCAAGCTTGAAGATGTTAAGTAGGTTCTCTCATTTTTTCTACTTCAAAGAATGAAAATCTATTGCAAAATTAGCCGTGGCTTTTTGTCTCCGTCATGCGAGTAATGCTTTTTATATTTTTTGCCGATTATTTTTTACGGAATTTCAAAGTTGACGGAAAATGACTTCTGCAAACTAAGCAGAAAGATCAACGTTCGAGTTTGTCAGATACAAAAGCTTCATGACTTTTTTGGATGCCAAATCTTCTATGTGAATTTCCAGATATAATTTACATATTTTCAGAGGAACTTGAGACATTTCTTTGGCAAATGCGTTGGTGAAATAAGTTTTAAAATTTATTTAACTCGGACATCTCATAAGATAACTTCTCATCGGCTGACGTCTTGGTAACATTAGCTGCTGTCGTCGTGCAACAGGTCGGAAAATCAGAAAATTCACCACGAACTGAAACGATTGCTTATGTAAAGTGATTCTGAGATTTGCTGACTCACGTTCTTCTTTATTCGCAGTACACAGCTGTCATTCATCATATTCTGATAATTAGGCGCTGAGAATATTGTAACTAAGCGACCGCCAGCAAACATTCTATGACCACCACGAATCATCTGAAAAAAAAACATGGAGATGAGTTACAAATTTGGATACCCTACCTCTCCAGTGATTTGATGGGCCCTTACAATCAGGTCAATTCCATGTTTTTGACAAAATTGCTCCACTACTGTTTCGTCGAATGAGAACGAGATTCCGCGACAGGATAATGACCAGCCAGGCTGAATTTTCCTACTAAACATCGCTGCAACTCTAATGTAAGAGGTATTTTCTACAGAATAAGGGAAATTATGACTCTGTACTCATTTCATACAAATTTTTTTCACCCAAACTTACTCTCCTGCGATCGTCAACTTTTCCTTCATGTGCGCCAAGTTTACACTATTGTTAATCAGAATTAAATTCTGGTATTTGAGTGGTTGTGAGTTTGAATGCAAAAGACACCAAGTATGTTTCCTTCAAAGAAAGGGAATAACTTGAGTTTTCGCAGTCACTTATTTTCATTTTCAGCAGTTCCTGATCAGACGATAGGCAATGGTAGGCGAATGCCAAAAATGTTGTTTTTGCACACCGCTAGCAGATTAAATTCTGGAAAACCATTTCCGGCTTTTTGCGCCTCAAAAATCTCTTTGCTTCAATTTTTTGCTGATGGCTGCGTTCACCAAATCCCTAAGTTAACACATTGACGACCCCTTGACACACATGGTGTGTCAAGCCATGAATACCGCATGGGACCGCTTGACACACCATGTGTGTCAAGGCTTGAATTTTGTCAAAATAACTACTATACTTTGATAAACACGTTCCACGAGCTTTCTTCTACACTGAGTCTAGGGATGACCTCTACCGTTATTTTCAGCCATTCAGGTCTACTGTAGGTGTACTGTAGATGGCAGTATGCGTAATTATAGTTGAAAATGCGGGCTGGTCCGTAAAAGGCCTTGGTCCCAGAAGGCAGACAAATAAAAGTCTGCATGGTCGTCAATGTGTTAAGAAGGGACCTCGCAAAATCACAGCAGCTTCCGTTCTGTACCGTCAAAATTTTCGCAACATTTAGTCCACCTTTTTGAGCTCATAATTACTAAGATTCTTTGAGAAAATCTCAATTTTACTTAAATCTAGTTCGATTCAATTTAATCACTTCAACTTTTAATACCTGATGCGAATCTGGATCCGACCAAACAATATCGCAGAGTATTCCATATGGAGGGATAATCGATGGCCGGGCGATCTGAATTGAAGCAAATTTATACGTTGATAATTTTGAAGTATCGGCTACAGCTAGAAAATTTAGTGATTTTATTATGACAAAACTTTTACCTTTTCTATATCAGCTAGTGTTTGTATGTGAGGCGAAAGTCCACCATGCATGCATAAAATTCTTCCACCAATCAGAGCCGCAAGAGGAAGGTGATTGAAGGCGTTGACCAGCATCAAATAAACCTAAGATAAATTAATCTGGTAGCTTTCGAAGTTGTTTTAAGATGAAGCTACCTACCAATTCACCGCGTCTACCATACTTCATCATACATTCGTCGTAGAAACCATAGGTACTGGTAGTGTTTACATCTTCATGATTACCCCTCAGCAAGAAAACGCGATTTGGATAGCGCAGTTTGAAAGAGAACAAGAGAATCGCCAGCTCCAAACCCTTTAAGTAGAATTCTAGCCAAGAACCTACGAGATTTGGATGACTAATACCTGCGTTCCGCGATCAACGTAGTCTCCCAAGAACACATAAGTATTTCTTGATGGATCACCACATCTATCTATGATTTTCCTTAAGTCTGTGAGTTGCCCATGCAAATCGCCCACAACGGTGACTGGGAAACAATCGCTGAAAATCGACTTGAAAACTCTGTATTTGATAGTAGTCGCCTTCAGCTGAGATCCCAAAAAATTGATGCTTTTACTGTATTCAAGAAAAATGCCCAAGCAAATATGGGTCCCGGGTTTTAAAGTGGGAAAAATGGCAGCGCATATGATTCGTTTGTGGCCAAGTAGTTTAACTTTGGACTCAAAGCCATATTGTGCTACCGTATCCAGGACGATGATTGGTCCGGCAGGAAAGAGTATAGTCCAGGCTGAATTTTGGAGTTCAGTTCCCTGACCACCACCACAATAAGCATTGAAAATAGTTCAAATTTCTTATAATTCAGATTTCCCGAACAGCGCTTTCGCCTAGGTCGCCTTATTGTTCCTAAACCCACTAGGACAAACCCACTACTCACTAAAGATGATCTCTTATCATTCCTATCACTTCCACCACAATCATTTAGAAAAGCAGTAAAGCTTATTTTGATTGCGCTAGTGATATCTCTACCTTAGCTCGCTTGCAGAAGAACAGTGTAAGAACCGTCTACTTTCATTAAAGGCTGTAAATAATGGCTAGTAGGGACCTTTAAAGGACGTAAAATACAGAAGAAAAGCGCACTTTTGCAAGCCGTTCGCCCTCATGCGCCAAGCGAGACATAGCTCATTGAGGCTAAAATTACCTTAACTAGTCATTCCGAGATTAGTGATTTTTGTTCTCATATTACACTACCGAAAACTGATTAGATTTTTAGCAAATCGGCTTTTTGGTCCGACGATGCGCCTCAAAGCGCTTCTTAGAACTAGTGTACTTTTAGGTCAAAATTCATTCTTCGGTTTTTTTTGGTTTTCTGAAACTTGGCCCCCATTCTTTGTTAGCTGGCAATTTCTTTCGTAAAGGCGTCCGAAGTAAAAGGTCCGTCTAAATCATGCGTGCTTGTGAGAAATACCTCGATAATCTGATTAGGCTTTTCTGCTTGAGAAACGACTCAGCGGCAGCTTTTGCCACGACATGAATTTCTTTTATTGTCAAATGAGTGTCAACTTCTGGAGCGTTGTGAGAAAGACTGCAAAAGATTACTTCAGCCAAGACTTCATGACGGAGCGACTCACCAAGGTTTAGTAAAACGCGCGTTCATAATTTTCTTGATCATCTGTTCCACGAAATTCTCTATGTCACTAGGCACGTCTTCATCAATGTTTTCAACATTTTCTGATGATTGCTGCAAAGATGAGAGCTTTGGTAAGTAGCGTAGTGGCAAAGAAGCTTTGCCTATTGTACCCACTTCGATTTGAACCCTGCTCATAATGCAACGGGTTTTATGTAACACGAGTAGAAAAATGAGTAACACCAACTTAAAGCTTCAAGCTCTAATTTTGTTTTTGTTTTTCACTCCAACGCTATCCATTCTTTTATGACTTTCAAGCAGCAGGGTCGGGAAGAAGGATAAATTACTTAGCAAACCTTCACATAGGCGAAGTCTAAGATAAATATGGCACTTTTTCTTATCCGTACCTATTTTAAAAAAGGATATTTCTTCTTACTTTGTAACTACACCATATTTGATCCCAACTTCGGAGTAAAGAGTGCCCTTCTACCAAGGCTTAAAAGAATTGACATGTCAATTAACATGCCACCTACATGTTTAACAGGTTTTGTCAAAAATTTGTGTTGCTTACCTACTAACTTAACTAAATCTTACTTCATTGGAGTCCTTCACATCAATGACCTCATTTTTGTTCAACAATCTCAAAAATAAACACTATAAAAATGCCATTCTTTCCCCTGCACCACAAGATTTGCACAAAATCATATGAAACAACGCACTTATTTCCTCTTTTTTACTGCATAATAATGGTAAAAGCTTCCAGCATACAGTGCCATTGTGGAATCGACTGTTCGAGGGAACCTTTTGGAAAAAAAAGTCTGAAAAATCATGTGCAAAGTTTCTGCTCATGCTGAACAGTTTTTTACGAATTGTTTTCTTGAGCATTTTGATAGTTAAACACATTTTCGAAGAGCATTATAGAGCAGGAATGATATCCACGAAAGTCCATTTCAAAATGGGCTTTTCGCGAATGAAACGCGAATAAAATGGGCTTAATCCCTGCGGTGCGATAAGATATCGCGTTCGCGAATCCATTCATCCCATACAAAAATGCTTCAGCAAACCTTTCTTCAACTTGCCTCAACCTGTTTACTCACTCTTGCAAACTCATTACCACCAAGTGGTCGATATCTAGGCTGATCTAACTTTACTATATCAGTCACGTGGATACTCCGTTCTTTTCCATTTCATTACACCTCATAGAATGCCATTTATCAACTATGACTATGCATCTAAATTAGTTTCAGTCCATCTAAAACCCAAGTAATATCAGGGCATTCGCTCTTCAAAACTTCTATGAATCTGCATTGAATCAAATTCGTATGTGGAGTTTCCTGCAGAAAGCAAACTTTGGCTAGACTTGCATTGCAATTTGTGAATCAAAATGCTTATCTCACAGAAAACCTTGTACTACACTATAACACAAAGGCTTTTAAGCTGGGAAAACTTTGGATCTGCAAAAAATTGATGGCTTCTCATGCTGTACTTTAGCAACCCCAAAACTTTCATGCAAATATGGCGTTTGATATATGAAGCTGTTTTTCTTGCATCAACTGTGTGAGTTTGAGGGGTGGATACTAGAATGATGACAAAGTCACTGAATTCAATTTTGCGTTTAGAACTTATCTAGGCATATACTCTGATCCCAAGTCATATGTGCTTTTGATGATCAAAGTTGCGTAGGGGAAGTGCTATGAACAACTGAAGCAAAGCGGGCTTAACTTATATATGTCTCAGCATATAGGGAATGCTTAAACCAATGCCTTTTGCTATTGGCAACCTTATTATAGATTTTGAACAGAATTCAAATTAACCGGTTGTTGGAAAAGCTCTCGCCTAATCCAGTATCAATCAGGTAACCTTTTCAACCCTAATGGGATGCTCTATATTCGAAAATAAAACAGAGTTCGCTTCGACGTTTTGGGTATTGAAAAGTGTTTTTCGGTGACAAAATGACGTATCGAGAAGATTTTCTCTATAAAATGACTTGTTTAATTTTGGTAAATCGCGATTTTTTTTATATTTCCATACGAGAGCAAGAAGTGCTAATGTATAGACTATAGCTAGTAAGAAATTTTTCACAGAATATTCTGACTTGCTAACGGTACTTCAGTACTTCTTGCTACCAAACTCAAAATCGCGAATTTCGAACTGCCGTCTTTGTATCTTTCTGCCTGTCTCAACTGTCTACGAAAAAATTTTTTCTATAATTTTCAAAGCATTTCAAGGCTGTTTGGAAAAGATAGTTTTTTGGCCCTCCTAAAGAAGATAAAACTTTCTCCGTTCGCTTAGTATCTTAAAATGGGCTAAGGAACATATTCTCAAAAAATCGCAATCAAAAATTTGCAAGAAGGTCAAAAATGGGCTTAGTCCCAGCACATCTGGCTGCTGGGAGTAAAATGGGCTTATCAGAAAGGTGAGAGAGAATGAACATGGAGGTGAACTCCATTATGCCCCGTTCTAAAATGGACTTTTGACGTCATCTTCCGCGAGCGATAGCTCAAGTAAGCTTGAATCATTTTCATTTCACCGCTTTGCTTCGCGGTTGCGATGGGATGAAAAATTTTGGATATCGTAAGCGGGAGCCGATTTCGACCACTTTCTAACGCGTACGAATAAAATGGACTAAGTGAGTCCATTTTCCTCCATTATGGACCTTCGTGGATATGAGTCCAGTTCTTACGGAATACTCCGCATAACTTGCGAAAGAAGCATTACGGTAAGCGAATTCATAGATAAAGTTACCGTACCTGATTACCCCAGTATGTGCGCTTAGATTTGCTGTATACTATAAATTTGAGAAGGGAAGATTACTTGGTGACCGTGGCTTCGTGGTGAAACACAAACCATTAGTTTAGTCTTGAAACGCTAATTTCAGATCTGTTTTCGCTATCTGTCAAGCGGTTTGAAATAAGTCATGAACGTTCTTTCCAAGAGTGTACGTCTCTCATTCAAGCAAAATTATGAACAGCTATCCTTGGTTCCTTGTTTCGCTTCTCCGAAACAACAATGAAGACGAGCGTAATCACCTCAAGCTTGAAATGTCTTTCATCTGTCCTCATAAGGTAAGATATCAATGATTCTGGCTATGCTTTATATGCAGAAATTGCGCGGAAGAAATGCTCATAACTTACTTCAAACAATTGCGCAACAGGCAAGTTTTGCAAACATTTACTGGTATGCGTCTCATTACGAATGGCCACGGCCACCAAGTAATATTTTGTTCTTTCTTCTTAAGCCATACACGAGATTGGTAATCGATTTATTTGATCCACGGCTAACGGCAGATTGCCTTCGTCAGAGCCTGTAAGGGACAATACGATCCGCAGACAATTTGAACCGGCACCTATACAGCTGAACAGACGAAATGCTAAACTTCGTTTTCGATCATGAGTTCAGCTGCACGGCCAAGCACGTACCCTCTGGATTACGCCGATACTCCTCTTCAGAGGAAATTTGGGTTCACGTCGTCCGGTGATAGAGAAGTTTGACTTGTATGCAGATTGCTTGCTAGACATATTAAGCGTACGCTTTCTCATTGAAAACAGCTACATTGTTTCTGCAGGTCAATTGAATAGGTGATTGCGATCGAACCCACATGACCAAAGTTTCGAAACCTGCCAGTTGCAGATTTTTGCCACATCGCAGGGCTGTCTTTGATAGCGGTCATCGCAAAATCGTGATCATCGCTATCAAAGATTTTCTTAGCAAATGGACGTAAAACAGAACCAACATATTTTGACGGAAATTTCATGTAAACTGAAATCTTTCATAAGTGGAAGTAAGTAAATAGATTCTCGTTCAATTCAACTTCTCGAATAAACTAAGCCTCTACAAAAAAATGATCCTTGTTTTTTTCCTAGCAACCAGCTGTTTCATTGATCCTCTCCAATTTAGGCCCCTGAGATTGTGCAGTTTTGAGAGTTTTGCACCGCAGAAATACGTCAGCTAAATTTTTACTTAAAATACAACGAGCAAGTTACGGGAGGTCTGTCTGATTTTCTTTTTCTTGCACATTGTGTACTCCCTCGGTTCACCATAGGATCCACCTTCGCCGTAGCGGCATTCCATTCAATGGCTGTGGCACATGGCCGAACAGTCTTCTGACTTTTCAACCGACTTTTTGAAGCACGGGAAGGTGTGCTGTCTCAGGTTTGACCTAGGAGTCTTTCTGAATGGGTCATCTCAGGTCAACTGAGTTGAATGGGGGTTTACTACGGGCCACTACCAAACAGCGTATACGTACTTTTTGTATTGCATACGAATCGGAAAGCGCTTAGAAAACAGCATATTTGTCCTAGCTTCGATGGGTCATTATTTGGCCATACGGTGGGAATCACATTGCGCGCGGCTGCCGCCATGCCGCATACGAATTTGGTGCTCCACAAAAGCTCTTCAGTGCTAAAGTGGCACGACAGCACACTGAGAGGGGAAACGGAAGTGGGGATGAGAGCAAATATATAATTAAATGCCACAAAACATTGTGCCAGTGCTGACGGAAGCAGGCTCTTGTGTGATGAGAGGAGCGTTGACGTTTCGTGAAAACTTGGCTGAGTCGGTAATCATGAACGTTTCTCTCGTTTATTCTACTCAAATCTGCCATATCAACATTTTTGATTGATTACCAAGTGATGGAATTAGTAAAGTTGATCGGGTCCATTTGTTTATATAACATACCATTTCATATGACGTTTCAGAAGTTTCGAGAAATTTCAAGATTCTGTTTTTGTGCTCATATTAATACCAAATTCAAAAACAGAGTTGCTCCAAATAACCTAACTTCCTATTCAAATCTGTTCGCCTCCTATAATATCAGAAAAAGAAAAGATGTATAATATTAGGTGGGTCCGAAAGTTTTGTCGGTTTTTTCAATCCATCGGCAAACACGCTAGAATGAAGATAAACAAACGCTTCAAAAGGTATCCAATGCAGATTCTTCCTCTTTCCAGCTGCTAACTCCCATTGCGTTTCGTTGCGAGAGTGACAAGATATTTGCTGGAAATTACGACCACTCGTTTTCACCATGTCCAACTAACGCTAATTTTAAAAAATTTTGTATGAGACTTTCGGAGGAGCCCTAATAATCAGCGGATAGGGCAAACCTTTTGCCAACAGAAGCAGTTTTTTGTACCCCTACGGCTTGTCTTTCAGAATTTCTACGATTTATTTTTGAAGTGACCAAATTTTACAATCAGCCTATTTTAACCTCGTAAAACATAAAATGTTAAACATTTCAGTCACCATTCGATGCAGAATTTTCTCCTCTTTCTAAAACTTGTCTTTTTTTGCCGAGACAGGCAAAATCTGTGGGAAAAATTGCAGTATTTCTCAATTTCAGAAGTGCGCACTAACGTAACCTATGTCTCAAAATCTTCATTATTTGAAGCGAAAATCGCTCATTTAGTTTGTATTGGTAACGGTAGTAATAATCATGTGTTGAAACCTCAGTTTTCTATAGGTTTTGCAGTGTTTGGTGCGATAACAGGTCAGGCTATTTTGCCAAAACACAAGACTTTTAGAAAATTATTTAGCCAAAATCTGAAAAAGCAGCTGGAAAAAAAGAAAAAATTGCATAAGTTGGCAAAAGGTTTGCCCTATCTGCTAGTTATTAGGGCTCCTCCGAAAGTCTCATACAAAAATTTTTAAAAATAGCGTTAGTTGGACATGGTGAAAACGAATGGTCGTAATTTCCAGCAAATATCTTATCACTCTCGCAACGAAACACAATGGGAGTTAGCAGCTGGAAAGAGGAAGAAATTCTGCATTGGATACATTTTAAAGCGTTTGTTTATCTTCATTCTAGCGTGTTTGCCGATGGATTGAAAAAAACCGACAAAACTTTCGGACCCACCTAATACTTCCTAACTGTAAATCGAAAAACATTGCAATAATGCTAGAAACCAGCGGTAGCATAAACTGTATGACGCCCTCTTCCTAATGTGCAAGGGACCCTCGAGGCCTGTATGAAATGCTGCAATTTTCGAAAAGAAACAAAAAACAAAATAAGTCGAATAACAAAATAAATTAAATAATAATAATAACAAACGCAGTTTGTACAATATAAACAATCCAGCGATCTTCGCATAAAGAAAGGAACATTGGAGAAAAACAGTTCCAAGAATCAAGGACATGCTCGCTCAAGGAGTACAAAACAATGCTAAAACCGTGCCACCCTATATTGGGGCCAGCAGTAATCCCCCCGACCTGGCGGCAGGTCTCGTCGACAGGTCGTTGGCACATTTTCCGTGAGGTGGCTAGAAAAAAGAACCCCAATTAAGGCCATCCCAGGCTTTTTTCCGAAAAAAAAAATTTCTCGATAAAGATGCCGCCTCGACTCTATATAAACCTCCATCGAAATTTGGGATCCAGGAATTCTTCTCTAGGAAAATAATATCTGGAAGCGCAGGAGGAGCTGCCGGCAACTTCGCGATGTCAGTTGCCGGCAACCTGCCGGCAGCTCGTTGAAATCCGCGAGATGGCAGCTGTCGGCAGGTCAGAGAGAAATAGCGTGCTCTTTTGAAAGAGGAAGCAGCCGGCATCTCGACGTGCCCCCCCCCCACGTCGAGGTGTTGGCACCTCCGCCAACGTCGTCTGTAAAATTGCGTTGTGGACAGTTGCGGGCGACGCCGCTAGAATGCCGCCTTCATTTATTATTTCTAGAGTCTTATTTTCTGAGAGCGTTTTTTCCGTTTTTACCCTGTCGTTTTAATGTCTCGTCGCCTTCTTAACTGAACTCAACTGCCTCAAGGAGTCCCCCTAGCTGAGGGCCTTTTTGGTTTATTTTATCGCTTGTGTCGCCATGTTGTCGAATTGGAACTGAACCAGACATAATAACATTTTTAAAAAGTCTTTAGAAATATACCGTGTGCAGATTAGCGAAGAATGTTTAGTTTTCTGCGGGAACAGCACCACCTTCCAAAGTTCTTTTTCTATTCTGCTATTTGTACACTAGGTGAGAGCTTTCACATTATGTGAACTTCTTCCACGAAATTTTGATCATCCAGAGCAGAACCTCATACCGCCATTATCAGCATGCACAATATATAAAGGCTACTGCATGACGAAGGCGAACAAGCAGTATTAGTTGCACGGTCGCGAACGCGGCGCGCGTGTTGTCACCGTTGTAAATCCTGTGCCTCATGCGCTCTGCGGCTAATAAAGCCGCGTTCGCGCCTAAGGATATTTCGCCTTCGTCAAGCAGCAGCCTATACCCGGTTTAACTAATTACATATAACTCCAACAGCGCGACATTTATCTCATCTCCCACTATCGCAGCGATTTCCCACTCAACTATAAATTTAGTTTATAATCTCTCAATATGGTACGGGAGCATATGACACCAATAGGCTCCACCCCGCGCGGAGACCCGGTAGAAATTCGTTGGATATGTATTACACATTGCAGCTGCGTACTTTGTCGCAGATGTTCGCGAGGACCACTCACTTTCAGAGTCATACAGTTCTCCACGCGTCCCACCACTAAGCTGCAATAAGATTCACTTCGAAATCTTACTCCCAATTATAGCAGTCTAGAAATTATATACGTGCACTTTGATTGAAAACACATGCACACAGCTATGAAGCATGCAAAAAAGGGAAAGAACATGGATGCTTGTGAGAATAGGAAGGAATGCCTTTTATCATATTCATAGAGCACCTAGATCTGAGTTCCGTGTAAGCCAGGGCTCGGCATGAGGTGGCTTTCTAAATTTTTCAAAAACGAAGGCCCTATAGACTTCGGCACAAAAGTACGACATCATCTATGACGCGATCATGAATGGATTAAACACGAATAACGAAAATTAACTGAACGAAACATAAAAACAACATTGAACAGACGAAAAAGAAATAAAATGTTTATATTCTCCGAAATCGCGGCATGCTGTGTCCGGCGCTCACCACTGCGCGCTTGGAGCAGGCTTGCCGCCGCCATACAAAATATTTGGACGGCTGTAATTATGCGAGAAAGAGGGGGTTTAGGGTGATTTAAAAATTTTATTGTAGGGTTTCTGATGTAGAACAAGGTTATGATAAACATGTGAAAAAATTATGTGAAGGAAGGGAAATATATGACTTTTTCTTTTCACAGCCACCTCAGGTGGCTGTCCAGGTGGCTGTAAAGCCACCTAACTCCGAAAAAAGTTTGCCACGCCTTCAGTTCACATAACTTTTTCATAATTTTTCGCGCATAGTTTTAACTCCCTATTTTTCCCTACACACCAATTTTGGTATCATCTCATTTCCTCTCCGCCGTAAACAAGTCTTTTGTTTATTTCGGGGTAGGTTTGAATTCGCGCGCTTAACCGGCGAACATGTTGAAACAGGAAATTTTTGGTTTTCGCAGATCGATAAAGCAGAAATGACAGTTTGCATCTTCTGTAGAAGATGGGTGACATAAAGGCAGAAGGCGATTGTGTGTGTGTGGGGGGGGGGGGGGAGGGGGAGGGGGGAGAGAGCGGAGGGGGAATGGGGTATTCGCTTAAAAGATATCTCCCTTGTTTTTTGTTCCAAAACGATATCCAGCTTGCCCGTAAGTCACCTGTGCCGAGCCCTGGTGTAAGCTTCTGGAACTTCTTTTGTTTATCCTTTTCATCGTACGATTGGTCATTGATGGACAACTCAAAGAAGGAAACACGGCGTTTGAGAAGTGGTACAAAAGAATTCACAAGCACTCAAATTTTATCTCAGCAAACCTAAACATTATGGATTTTCTTTATATATAAATGATTGCGTAAGTTCTAACCTTCACGCAATCAGTTCTCGTACACAACATTTTTAATCCTCAAAGACTGGCGGACCTTTCGACGAGAACTGGTAGTTATATGCGCAAAATCCCTCGAACGCGCTCTCGACAGCGCAACATAAGTGCTCCCGTGAGCAAATGAAGGTGTCCGCATAATAATTCCAACTTTGTTGAACTTCTGACCTTGACTTTTATTGATTGTCTGCAATAAGACAATCTAATTGGAAAATGAAACCGTAGAAATGCGACTTCAGTGTTTTCGTCCGCAAAATCCAATGGCATTCTTGTGATGTAAGTATTTCTTCCTGTTAGCAAGTTCTGCAGCGAAGCCTGCGCTGATCAGTCATGATCGATAAAATTTCAAGCTTAGTTCCATTGCACAAATGTTCTTGAACATCTATATTATGAAGAAGCATCACTATGGCTCCGCACTTCACCTTCAACTTATACTCAGACATTGGAGTGAGATGATGTATAAGTTCTTCGTCATCACACGGCATTCCCACAAGATCTTCGTCTTCAGACGCCGGAGTATCGACAGCAAACAACTCCACACATTCACCTTGTACCTGGTATGTTCAACATCTTCCCACTAAGCTCTAGGGCACCACAATTACAAACGGTTGATAGTGCCATATTACCGATAATATCAGTTGAACGAATGACCTCATTAGTGTACATCCATCTAATGACGTCTTCTTCACTCTCCATGCACATGTCAACTGGTATTTCGATATCCACACCGTCGGGAGTGAAATTCGTCCCTTCTCCAGCCACCTGCAACCAAGCTGCATGCTCTTCTTCACCCGGTCGAAGTCGCATATATCCAGCACATAAACCTGCATATCATTCCACAATTCACTTGACTTCAATGTTCCATTGATTATCTCCATTTTTGATCCTCCTGGAACTACTGGAAGAAATTGACACTAGTCCCCCCCCCCCCGAAAACCATAACCACACCACCAAAGCGAAGGTTTCTATTCTCGGGAGCGGCCACATCACGAAGCAGCCTATCAACACATTCTACAGCATAGCGAGTCTGCATTGATATTTCACCCCACACAACGTCGACTTCACGTAACATCTTTCTTTCATTAGAAGAAGCATCTATTCCAGCCACAGAATCACTACGCAGTCCTTTGAGCGGCAAAGAAAAAGTGCTGTGTGCAGTGCGCCTCCAAGAAGAGTAGAAAAAACAAGAGATTTCCGTTTGTTTTCCTTGTCTTTGCCATATTGATTACATTCGTGACAGACCTTCGTTGCTTCTCGTTCTAATTTTGCACTCGATTGTCATACTCGGTGCGGGTGGCATCCCAGTCCAGCTTCAAAAATTCGCTAGAAAATGCTGCATTATTTATGAGCTTGTTATAAATCTCATCAAGAGCACGGTAAGGTCTAATAGGTCTCAAGGTCCACTCCAGTCATTACAAAATTTAGGATATTTCTCAACCCCATTTTCCCGTGGCAATTTCAGAAAGACCCTATCACCTACGCATGGATAATCTTTCCTTTCAGCGTTGAACTTTTGGTCATAACTTTGCTTCATCTTTCTCTCATCTGCAAATTACGCTCCCGTACCAACCTTTGGATCATTTCAATACTAGTTAGAAGCTCATGTTTGTAATCATAGTCAAGCTGATTGAAAGAGAGTCTTCTGGCGGCATTACCTTCGACGGGAATCCCGGTTCGGCCTCTAAGTGGCTATAAGGATAGCATAGGAAAAGATAATTCGCGGTGGTACCGCGTTCAACTCACTAGAACAATCAAGAGAAGCAACCGTTTATCGGTGCGATCAAGACAACAAGAAGAAAAGAACAATGAAAAAGAAAGAGCTCAATGCGAACACTAACAAAAACTAAACAACGATTGACTGCATCACTGCCCTCGGGCGGGGACAACTCATGATCAAAAAGTTTTGGCGCGCTTTTCGCAACACCATTGATCTTCGATAACCGAATGCAAAAACCCTTAACATAGCGACCGCGCACAGACAATGAGGTGAAGCCAAATTAAGTAACAAGAAAAAGACAACACAACATAACATTGCTTAACGGCTTACCTAAAAAACTCAGTGAAGAGGATCCCTAGCCCTAGTCAAGAAAGTCAGAGCTACCGTATACCAAAAAAATGACAGCAACGGTTACACAGCCTGCCATAATCATCCCATTTGCTGTGATTATACCTTTGATAAAATCGTTTTCAAGTTTTCCTCCGCATACGAATCGCAACGCCTATTCGAACGCATCTCTGCCTTGAACTCATGCCATAACTTCGCTGATTTGACGGTTTGCAATAAAGAACAATATGCTCAAAAAGTAGCCTCAGTTCTGATGACATATCTGTTGCTGAAGCGGAACGTAAGCAATCTTGCCATTCTGTGGTCTTCTCTATATAACCAGCAGCTTACGTGGCTTCCATAAAAGATTTGTATACTTTACCACGGTGGGTTCTCAAATGCCCAAAAAACTGCACACCTTTTTTGTACAGCAGAAGTTTCCTGACAGCGTATAATTCAAGCATTTTCGGATTCACTGAACTCAATCTGGCTATACGTAGTCCTTTGCGTTTATACGGTACATATTTTGTACCGCTGAAGCGATAGTTCTCATCAACTGTCACCCATGTCATAATTTTAGCACAGTCATCCTCTTTCACAAAATCGAACCAAGCCAATAGCTTGCTCTTCTTTCTTTTCGGTGGGTATGTCGTGCTCGTGAAAAATATCGGTTCTTCATTTGGTAGATGCGGTATGAGCGAGAGAACAGTATGCATCGTCTAGTGCATAGAGTAACGCAAAATACATATGCTGCTTCCATGAAGCACTTAACGAGCCAGCCTGTAGATTTCTCGCATATCAAGATTCAAGCACTTCTCCTTCCTCTCATTCAAGTAGACATTTTTCCTCATCAAATCATCATTGTACCGTAGCTACAACACGACAGAATCCGGACCTTTAAACACGTATTTGAAAATATATTTGAAATGCTTGAATCGCAGCACAAACTTCCCCGTTTACGTGACAAGTGTTTCTGAAGAAGCCACTCATTGGTTGGCACTTCTGTTAGTAGCAAACGTTTTGCCCAGCTTGTCTGTTGCAGCTACTTTACCATCATCCTTTCTGCGATAAAGGGGAGAACCACCACTGCACAATTCAGAAAAAATTTTATATGGTTTCGGATATCTTCTCGAGCACTTCGAAGCATTAGCATCACGACATCCAAGTTCAGGCCACTCAGAGCAGGGTCATGTATCATATGTTTTCGTGCAAGCTCGAAAAGCAGCAACTTACTTCCCTCTCTGGATCATCTCGCTTTGGGTTGTCCGGAAGCTCAGCTGATATAATGGAGTCGATCTTCTCAGGAGTGTGAACTTTGTTAGCTAACGTAACTAGAAGATGAGCGTGAGGCATTCCAGGTTTCTGAAACTCTATACTTCCATGCAGCGCAACTACTATTCCAAAAATTTCCTTCCTTTTGATGTCATCGATGGCTTTCGTAAGACGTAAAAAATAGTACGCGACAACATAGAAAAGGAACTCCATGAATCCATGAATCGAAATTTTCAACAAGGTTGTTTTTAACCTCCTTCCACTCTTGAATTCCAGTGAATGTGATGAACAAACGGGTTTTCCTAGTTTCAGGGAAACAGCTATAGCTTCACTGTACAATTTTTGATACCACTTCCTACTCCCACCATATGTTTTGGACATATTTACAAGCTTTCCCAGCTTCACGCCCTTTTCATTCAGCTTGTCATCCAGATACTTCGAGCAAGGATGTATACGACAAATTCCCGGCAAAAAATGAAAAACGATTTACGTGCTTGCTATTTGCTAATGTAATCTCCTCATCATCATCATTAGTCATACATGTCATCAAGACCTGCATCAGTGTAGGCGCCCTCAAGAAAGCGCTCGTTACAACAATCTCCAGCTATCTCGCGTGCACGCTTTCTTGAACGATTCTTAGGTAACGCATCCTTCACAAATGTTTGCTCTCCTCGGGGAAAGCACAACGGGTACGTAAGTGCATCGATATTGTAACTCTGATGAGGTGCTATCGTTTTGCCACCTCGTGACTTAAGTATTAATCCCGCATCCAACTCCTCGTGAGACGGCATGACGCCATTTTTGCACGGGTAAATTGCCGCTATTTGATTTCCAAATACATGAAGGTTAAGTGTTCCTGAGTGTATGTTTTCATGACTGCAGATGGAACTTCCCTCTTTTGCTTGATGCTCATCATGCTGTTCATGTTGCAGAGTAAAAATGACCATGTGAAACAAAAATATTGAAAACGCATGAAACACTGATCTTTTGACAATCACACTTGGATGCTGCTGATATAAGCTATTCTATTGGCGGGCCCGAAGTGTGCGATTTGGCCGAATCGCGTGAGGTATGCCTTAAGCCTTCGGCATCGGATAGCTGAGATTGTCGCTCTCCCTTGCGGGAGAGCTGTCCAAAATTTGAGGTCATCGCCGGGGCCACATTAGTGGCCACCGGCGGTGGGGCCAGCTGACTCCGCCTAAAGCGGAGTCATGCTGGCCTCTATTAAGCCTGCGCGGCGGCGCCACCGGCGGCGCGGGTGCCGCCGGATCGCCCGCGCTTTCGCGTGGCGCCCTTCTCGCTGCTCCCCTCGCCCCGCGCCGCGGAGCCGCCGAGTGGGCTCCGCGGGGGGGGGGGGGGCGGCGGGGGGGGTCGCCGCGAGGGGGTCGGCGGGAGTAGGAGGGGGGCCCTCGCTCGAATCAGAAGGGGAACGCAGTTAATGAAAAGCAAACCGGCAAATATACGCGATAAAAATTGCTAAAATAGAAGAAATAACGAAATTTTAACAAGCAGAAAAAATCGGTGAGCAAGTGAAATGCATTGCGAGAATAAAAAATAGCTTGATCACTAAAAAAGCGATTAGGTAGATTTCTAACATATTCTGTAACTAAGTTTGACTTACCTTTTCCAAGAAGGGGTATTGCAGCAACTGCATAGAAGATGGAGAAAGTCGCTCAGCGCGTTGATATTTGGGCGCTTGTCAGCCGTTGATATCGATTACATTTGGCGTGCGTTGAACCTAGTGCTATGTGTCTACGTTCCTTGCGCAAGACGAACTTGGTGAACTTGACCCCTGGTCGATTGCACCTTCCTGCGTCTCCACGGTGGGCGCACTATTTTTGTCTGCCTCTCGATTGACGTTCAAAACGTGCTCGTCCTCCGCGCATGAGGACGAGCACGTCCTGTAGTCATGACGTCGAGCGATTTCACCGGCCCTCATAAGAGACAGCCGCCGGAAGAATCGCGGCCGAAACGACACGTACTGGGTACGTGCGATGTTTCGGACGTCGCGACCACCACAAGGGGGATTACTACGGGGCCGAGGAGGTTTGATATCCATGTGCGCAAGATTTCTACTTGCAGGTTATGTAGGACTTACATCCCTTCGTTTTTAAAATGCGATTTGAACCTATAGAAGATTTGACTTCAAGAGCTTTCCTCTAATGTTAGCTTACTTTTGATATACAGCTGTACTTCTCACCTTCGATCTTCTTAGCCTTTCTGCTTCCATACAGTATTGTTTGAAAATGTTCTTGTCCTTTCTACACATCGATCAATATACTTTCGCACGTGACAAAACGGACAAGTCTTTCTCATGTATACCTGAGTTTATCCTATATACACTGTGTCTAAAAAAAGTCTACTGAATGTATGAAAAAGTCGGTCTTCAAGATCAGCTTGTCCACAAATCCTCACGACAAAATCAATATGACAAAAACACGACAAACACCACGTGATTGACACAGATTGTCATTCTCATCTTTTTTTGACTATGTAGCGAATGTAGTAGCTTTGCTAAAACACAAAGTCAACTTGATCATCTTAATCACAGTCGCTCCCCTTGAAGCATGAGTAGATCAGTAGTAGTCATCAATTTTCTGACGTGCTTCCTTTTTAGATTGCATACATATCTTTCTTCGACACGTCAATCATGAAACCGCTTCCAGGGCGCTTTTGTCGGTTCTTCCTGATGATACTGGGTAATGTTGTATTTATTGCTCAACAACATATGAATGCCATTCCTCTTAGCTGCCTGTGTTACACTGCCGTGCTTTAGTTCACATGTTTCCTGCTCCCGATTGGATAGCGCCGCTAGGTTTGAATCGCCTTCGCCACTCGTTGCATGCTTTATTATGTGAATCGGTCATGGAACCTCATGACATGGGGATCTGCCCATTTAGCAATTTTATTCCAGTATATTCTATTTAATGAAGGTAAATGACAATGTTTGATGAGTCCATAACTAACACGCTCAATGCACCCACCGATCTCTCACTCGGAATTATCCTATTTACAAAGGGGCTGGAGCTTCCTGTGCTCGAAGAGCTATGAAATGGACAATTTGAGCCGGTGGCAAAGCTCCCAGAGGGCTCTGCTGATAGGCCGCAACTGGCGTGAAGGCGTGTGATGACCTCCTGATACTGAAACAAAAACAAAGGCATTGAAATCCATGATCCTAACGGAAATGGAATCAAAATAAAGAGCAGAACGCGCGCATTTCAAGAGCGACAACGACGTTTTCGAGGGCCTCATCTATTCCGAGAGACGAAGATAGAGTACAGCAATCCAACGGCTGATTTCGAAGTAGAGCGCATATTATGATTGAAGCAGGTTCTTCTGAAATCTTCCGTAATCTTCCGGATTTTGTGCGAGTAAAGGTTCGACAAACAGGAGGAAGTAAATTTAGTCTATCTACCAAGCACTCACAATATTCCTGCAGCTTAGGAGGACATGAGCATAACAACAGCAGTCTAAGCCATTCAAAGCTGCCTCGTGACGTGACATGCAGAGCTGACAAGGGAACGATACGTGATGTCCGTGGACTTTTGAGATGTGATGTATACCGCTACGCTCGTCTTGGAGCGCTGATACCAAATATGACTTTCGTTTTTGCTAATCGTTTCTCAGAAATAAGTTATGAAGGATTTTTGCGCTAAGGAAAATAAGGTCGGAATGCCAAAACCGCCTCTACGATTTGGTGTAGTGGTTAGGGCGATAGCTTCAGAATTCAATGCAGGGTTTAGCTTGTTCGAGTCCTTTTGTGTTTTTCGGTTTTGCATTGCCTCAATCAAGCCTCTTTTCAAAAGTTAGGCATCATACCGTGTTTTTCATGGACGACTATGGCGAAATCCTTCATAACTTCTTTTAGAGAAACGATTAACAGAAACGGAAGCCAGATTTGGAATCAGCGTTTCAATACGAGTGTGATGATGTACGTTTTATCTCAAAAGGCCACGGACACCGAGTATCGTTCCCTTGTAGAGCCAATAGATAGCCAATAGACCTTGTCAAGCTCATAAAGGGTATGGCTATTTGAGGAAGGTACCAAACGAGCCTAATCGTGCATCATCAACTAGTTTTCATGCAGAATTGAAGGCGCAGAGAGCATATACAAATTGTACTTTCCTCCCTCCCAGGTAACTGACTTTTCAAAAGGTGCAAGGGTTTCTAATTGCAATTAGCTGGTGAGCTGGTAAGGTGGTGCTCCTCGGTAATACCAATTCTGTTATAGTTTGACATTTGCACATTTGAAATTGGGGCGCTATTCGGCTATTCGGGTCTCAGTTTCTTTGTCGTAGAATTTGTTCAAACTTCTCACCAATTATGGGCAGCTATGAACTTTAGAACTATGACAGCCAAGAATGCTAACAGGGAAATAAGAATGTGAACAATCGAGTAAACGCTGAGAATCCACTACAGCATAATTACGCAAGACAATGAGCTCCCAAATCAGTCATGCCTCCAAGTACAAACTTGTGAACGGGGGGGGGGGGGGAACTGCTAAACTGCTAGTACCTTACGAGAGTGTCGGCACCCACCTCCGCAACTATAGCCTTTTTGCAGTTTATAGCCGCACCCCTTTCAAAAAACATTTCTCGAGGAGGGACGATGATTAACCCTACGAAAACACGCTAGCCTTGTTAACAAATTTGTACCCTTCGCAATCACTCATCTCAGTCCGCAACTTATCAACATGTAAATGCAAACCCTTGCCATTCTTTAAAGTACAATGATATATCCAATTCATTTTGATTGTAGCGTGACTGATGCACATCTCTCTCTAACTTTGGTTCTTACCAATAGTAATTATGTAGCCACCATCGCTTGCTCATGTATCTCGAAAATCTAGAGAACTCACGTCATTCCAATATTTCATCGCGTCTGACAAAGTCTTTATTCGCTTAGAAATGCCCCGAGATTTACCAGTAAACGCACTTGTACCTCAGTCGTTGTGCGTCTGTATAGAACGCGAAACCGACTAAAAGTGATTGCAATTGGTAAGCATTTTGAGGGGGAGTTCGCACACTGGAGCTCGGCCTACACCCTACGATTATGTGGTATTTAGTGGATGTACTTTAACTATCATATGATGACACTATATCAATGATCTCTCTATGACGATAGCTCATTTAGCAGACGTCAGCTGATGTAGAAGCGAGGTACCAGTAAATAACGAGTGCTTATAAAGACGCTACTATTCAATGCTATCAGTCAGTTGTAGCGATGTTCTTTTACAATCACATTGTGAGCACCTACGTACACCATTTGTGAGCAATTATCAAAGTTGTATAAAATCGTAATTTTTCCTCTAGAATAGCAAACAGGACTCGGCACGAGGTGGCTAGTTGAAAACGCACAAAACGAAGTCCCCTTTGATCTTAGACTATAATTCCTAAAAAATCTTTGAAAAAAGGAAACGTTGACTAAAAAAAACGTCACAAATTGTGCCTTCTCGTCCACAATAACGAAACCCCCTTTGCTTTTTGTCCCAAGAACGATATCCAGCTTGCTCATATGCCACCTGTGCCGAGCCTTGATGGCAAATCTAAGGTGAGCCTGAAAGCTTTCATTCAATATCAAAAAAACATTTTTAGCGAACAGTATTTATATGAATCGATAGCCTAAACTCCGCAGATTCCATGGGAATTTTCAAGCCTGATTCGTCTGCTTAGCTCTGAGTAATAATTGGTGAAAGCCCAGCCATTAAAAGCGAAAAATGGGAAAAATGAGATTTTGGTTGACTTCTAATTCCACAGTTTCGAGGTCTTTTGAAGTGAGATTTCTGACAATAAGATGGACAAAGAAGGAGTGGTGCTTTATCTTGAGTGCGAAAACGGATAGCTAATGACCTTTAAAATAAAATTAACCATGTTGGAATATGACGATTCACTTAGGTAGCCTGTATCTTGAATCTTCAGAATTCGCTCTACCTTTGTCTACAGGGGTTAATTGACATGCTAATTATGGATATGATACGAATATCATGTTATCACTATTATCAGATTATCCAACTACGACTCCCTCCCCTTTTGACTCCTCAATACGACCCCCCAGGTGTGGCGTGCCACACCTCACGCTTGACCCTGGTTGTTTTTGTGCTTAGCACACCTACGAATACATTCGCCAATGGATCGTAACTCTGACGTTGCAAAGTGCGGACTAGTCCAAAAGTTAAGATCGAAAAATAAGGTGTTTTTATATTGACTCCCGTACTCGAGACGATTCTCACCATTCTCGAGGGCAAAAGCCTTCATTACTCTATGAAAAAGATTGTTTTGCAGGTCTCAACATGAACTCAAGGCCAGCGTTTCTGAACGTGCATTTCCATGTATTCGAGCCCAAAAGTTCGTATTTTCAGACTCATGCTCAAATCATTGAGAATGTTGTTAGACGCAATAAAGAGCCTTCGATGTAGAGTTTCTTTTTCTTTTTGGAGCAATGTTTTTCTTCCATGTCCTCTCATGACCGTTCAAATAATCGTCAAAATCTCCGACGTGTGATACCTACCCCAATTCTAGCTATCCCTCAATGTTTTTATTCCAGACTTTTGGAGTACTTTAATAACAGATGGATAGAAGCAAAGTGCAATAAACGTATTTTTTTTGGAAATCTTCAGTTGGCTTTCCAGCATTTCAAAAAATTTTTTGCAACTACCCACTTTTTCCGTGACATACACAAACGCCTCAAACACTGATGCATCTTCGGAATTTGAAATCCTAAAATCCATTATGATCTTACACTAAACTTACAAGGCAGTATGCGTCTAGGATCGAGATATTGATTTTCGCATTTTCCGTGTACAGTTTGGAAATGAGTTCAAAAACAAGATTTACATAAGGTTGGCTAGGAAATAATTTTGATCGTTTTGACAATTCGCAGAAACGTCAGAAAATGTTTGTGAATGTATGGTATCCTTGGAAAGACCAAATCAAGAAAAATCGGATGGTCAGCTCTGTTTTTACGAATAATTTTAGGCTGGAAATTAAGTTTTGCAACTTCCCTCATAACTTTACTCTCTTTGGATGTGGCGCACTCAAACTCTGGCAATACATAATGCGCAATGTGTGTTACAACTGCGCACAACTGCTCAGATTTTGGACAATTAAAAAAAAATACAGGCATTTTTTCAGAACTTGTGCGTTTTGAGAATTTTTGGGTTATAAACCAAAATGAAGCCGTTAGCGGCCCAGACCATGTGCAAAAATCTGAATTCTTATATAATTGCTAGAGTTGATTCATTCATTTCTTACTGAAAAAGAAATAAAAAAGAAAAAAGAAAATTTAATAGCTTGTTGAGTTTTGGCGCAATCACGGAGTCGAACGAGTCCGTTGTACGCAAGGCTGCTGCGGACAACCATCAATGGCTAACAAGTCTCCCAACTCAAAATTCGCAGAGACTTCACATAGTAAGCTTATTTGAGTTGCCAAACACGAATATCATATTCATGTGTTGAATTACGTTTTTTTTTCTTGTTTAGAATGAGACCCTACATCGTAAGCATACAGTAGTTCAAAAAAAAAAGCCCTTATCACACAACTTTAGCATCGTTTTCGTGTTCAGCATGTTGGATGACCCCACTATGCCAAGTTTCAGTCAAGTCGGACTTATTGTTTCTTCTCTTCTACCATAGGTACCTACCGTAATTCCCACTGCGACGTCAAAATTGGCAGAACAGAAGCTGCTCTTGTAGCTTACGTCATAACCTAACCTTTGATTTAACTGGCTTGGCTTCGTGAAGGCGGAGCTCTGTGTACTAATCAAGGCCGCTCGCTCCCGCAACGCATCTGCGTCTCATTCGCGCGAGTGCTCTCTGATCACTACCTAGCCTTAATTAGGTCACGAAGCCCCGCCTTTCCGAAGCCAAGTCAGTTGAATCAAATGGTACACAATGGCAAAATATGAGTGCACCATGTTCAAAAAGAGGAAGGTTATTGAATGAGTTGACTTAGTTTCCAACCTAATATTTTTTTGATGACGAAATTTTGCACGAAAAATAGTCAGATTTTTCCAACAAATTTTGAAAAATCACACTCCAGAAAGCGAGCTGAATTTGGGTGTTAAAATGCATTTTGCACCATCAAACTAACAAATTTTCAACCATTTGCATGGTCATAGATGTCGAATGACTACTACGCGCAGATACCTGGAGATTTTCACACTCTTAACTGCAGAATTTCACGAACAGCAGATCACCATCCTCATTGTGGTTCGCCATATACCCGAAGGTTGTATGTATGTATTCAACACCAAATTACTCACCGTCACTCACTACAAGCTAAGAACGATAACTACAAGGGAACTTCTCTTGGTCAAAGTGGCGATTCGGAAGGTGATGTATATATCAATGGATAGAACCTAGGGCGCTGTTCTCAAGTAGTCCTTCAATATCTACGGCGCTTTCTCTAAAAGGAGTTATGAGTTTTTTGTATATGTAATGGAAGTGGAATGTAGAAGGGAACATGGTTCGAATGAAAACAAATCAAATCGAATTATTTAAGATGTCCGAATGAAATCAAATTAGACCTACAATGCTTATCTTGGAGTAAAAATCTGTGTTAGCACAATATTTGAGCTGCATGAAACACTATGTACACTACACTCCTCTTATCACATAACGTTCCAGTTTAGGCAGGATGAAACTTTATTTCTTTGCAATTATGTACATAGATGAGAAAGGTTAATTACCCATAATGAGGTGCATAAGTAAATACTAATAAAACATTTAAAACCAGTCAACGAAGTCAGATAAATCTCAATGGGAAGCACATAGCAACACCTTCAATACAAATATATCACAAATGAGATGAAAAAAACACATGTGTACGAGTAATGGGAGCGAAGTAGTAATCAAAGAAGTGACAAGAACATAGGTCGCCTATAGGCTTTATCAGAGCGGACAACTAACACAAGTCGTTATGAGAAGTGCGCGCTGCAGGACATCCGCGCCGGACCCCCCTTTCGGCGACCTAATGTCCTTTTCCCAGAAGTGAGGATTAAGAGTGGTTAAAGCTGAGGCAGTGCATGTATCGACAAAATTCAGTTCTTTTTTGCAAGTACGGCTTACTTTTCGCAACGGAAAAATATGCCCACGCATAAATGAGCTATTTTTACAATTAGTTTCTTTGCACAACTAATAATTGACAAGTAAGCATGAGCGATGTATGCAAACTCTCCAATTTGCAAACAAAACGAACGCTTTGATCCGAGTTGTGATAACCGATACAGTTCACTTATAGTCACGATTCGACTTCTTGCAACTAATTCTGATGGCAATTATCAAATAATGGCTCCGTCCACTATTTTTGCAATAAAGAGACAACTGAAATTATGGCCACATTGATAGCCCACTTCATAGCACTCACGTTCGAACATTTTCCATCAGGACATGATTCGCTACAAACCTGGAAATATTTTTTGTGAAAAAAGTTATAAAAGTAAGTCTCATGCAAATCATTTACCTCAACAAAAAGAGCGGACGTTGTTCGATGTGTGGCACCATTATTGTGCTCTACGGAGAGTAGATGACGTATCTGTATAAATATTGAAGTTTATGAAATTGACGCTCTGTTTCAAAAGGATAAAAACTTTTGTAAAAAGCTGGCTGTTTCAGGTATGCTTACCTTTCTATTTATTTTTGAGTTGTAAAGAGTGCAGCCTGTTATGTCTTCTAATCCACCGCATTTTCGTTCAGTAATGATTTTTTCTAAAACAAATACATAAGTCAAAAAGGTTTTATAGATTTTTCAGACTAAAACCTATCAAATCAAATGAGCATTTATTGGAAGTACGATAGCAAAAATTGCGCGGGTACTTCGACAGGGAAAATATTGCCCTGTGACCTGACACTAGGAAAAAAATTGCTGTGAACAATTGTTTCAAGCCGTCATAACTGTAAGGTTTTTTCACTGAAAAAGGCCAAAAATGCATGTACAAAAATGAGGCAAAAATCGGTCTTTCTCGTCTTTGCTCAAAAAAAAAACCCGCAAGTTCCGAAAATTCTATGGACTCTTTTTCCTTATAAAATATAGTTGTGAAGTTGTGGGGTCCAAAAAAGCCTAATGAAAATATTTGTTGAAAGCTTTGAAAAAAGGTTAACCTAAATTTGTGAACCAATCTGTGAGCCAGACTGTTCACAGATTGGTTCACAGATTGTGAAAAGATAACACTTACTCGGCCCTGTATACAAAATAAACAGGTTGTGATGTACTTTATTTCCTTCTGATATTAACATTAGAAATATGGAAATTATTCGCATCCCCCTCCCTCTCTCCCACCCTCAAGAAAGTGCGGTCCCACGGCCATATTGTCGCAATCTCGTTGAGAGGGTCCTTGTGCAGTGGCTGTTGGCACTGCCAGCAATTAAGTCACGCACGAATGAAAGAGGGAAAGCGGAGTCCGCCAATTATTATAAGACACCTAATTAGGTTGTCCAAATGATGTTGGAAGGAGCCGCACCGGCGGTAATTTACTTTGCAAGATATTTAGCCGTAGTAATGTATGAATACAAACCTTGGACACCTTATGTTTTATAGGACATTCGTCTGAGTGCTCTGATTACATAAGCCATTATAATAATCAAAAGCAAAGCTAGTCTCACCTTTACTGTCTCCACTTCTGTACCAGCTGACAATACAATGAGTGTGTGAGTTATTTCTACAGGGTGTCGACGGTATCAATCCGTTTTGACAAAGCTCAATATGTCGCTCGTGTTCCTCTTCCGAGTACCATGCAGCATTTTTGTCGCATTGCATACATTCCAGAGCGGAAACTGAAACCATTCGAACTCTTTTATGACTTCGCCATAGTCTTTCCACCTATCAGGTAGTCAATTCTTTTCTATCGCCTAGCAATGCTGGTGCTTGGACCTCTCGAAATAATTTTTGAAGCGGTAAAATCTGCGGTATCAACTGTTGCTGTTTTTACCACATAAGAATCGCGATTTGCAAAAGGCACGGGAATTTTTTTGAAAGAAATTGAGAGAAATTTGATGACTTCATATATATCATTGAGAAGCTGAGCTTTTCATGAATCTCCCGATTTCAGTGGAAAGCATATTTGATCGGTTCAGCTTTCGATGATGAATTCTCAGAAGTGAGGAAAGGCGGCACCTGCTTATTTTTCCCCATGAAAGCAGGGATTCTGCAAAAAATTTTTGACGATATAGAAAACTTTTCGAAATTACCGATGGTGAAAAATTTGCCTAAGCAACCACTGAGAAGTTATTTTTTCTTCAGAGAGCAAATAACTCATGTCAGATGCCTATAGGCTTTGCTTTGCCATTTATTTTGTCATTTATTTATTTTATTTTACTTTATTTTATTTTGTTCCATGAGATGATGTTTTATTATTCACCAATCTGCTCAAAATGCATTAACAGATTTCGCCTCGCAGACCTGCAAGCAGGTACCAAATCATTTGAAGTCGTAAAGTACTCACCTGTGGTAATAGTCACAAGAATCGTTAGATAGATGTCATTAATAAAGAGCATGACGTATTTCATCTCATTAAATCATCGAAATATTGCACAAATGCCCATTTCTTGAGCAAAGCGAAGTATTTCTGAAAAGTGTTGTTCAAGAACGTTTTGAAACGATACTTACATGAGAATACGAAGAACGTTGTGTGCAAATTGTTAAATGAAGGTGCACTCAGACGGAAGCATAAAGTAGCCACTATTGCCAGTGACATAGTACACTTCTGGATATCCGTACGAGTAGAGAAAAAAAACCCGCCGAGATACTTCAGGAAGATTATCTTTGGCAGATTCTACACACACGCCATATGTGTCGTGAAAAAGTTATTGACTTGCACTTTCAGAGCTTCTTCAGGCTTTGATAGCTCATGGTATTCCTCGAGAAGTTGCTTTCACAATATACTCAAAATAAAATAAGGAAAAAGCAAGCTCGAGATGGATTTATGGAGGTCCATCCATGAGCTTATGGGCGGTTGCTTGGATAAGTATATGTCCTAATGGTGCAGCTCCGCCCATATAGTGAAAGCATGGGCAGAAGGATCAGTCTTTTAGGTTCGTGAAGTAAAGAAAAACCAAGAGGCAAGGAGAAGATTCACAAGTATCATGGTCAGGGGCTGCACAGGTGGCTTATAAGCAAGCTGGACATTGTTTTTGGGACAGAAAGCAAAGGAAGTTTCGTTTTTGTGGCCGAAAAGACACAAAATTTTCGAGGTTCTTTTCTTCATTTCGTTTTTTTGGAAGTTTTTCTCAGGGATTATGGTCTAGAGTCAAAGGGGACTTCGTAAAAATTCGCAAAAGTCAAGGTGGACTTCGTTTTTTTGCATTTTCAACTAGCCACCTCATGCCGAGCCCTGATTATGGTTGGTCCGAAAGTTATGGTTCCATTTTCAAAAATTCGTAACATTGCGGTATCTCGATGGGTTTTCTTAGAAATAATAGGTCTTTCGCTTTCAAATTTTGTCTCGTTGAGCTTCTGTTTCACACTGACTGCAGAGATAGAGATAGAAAAGGAAGATCATGTAAGCTGGTCATTTTAAATTAGGTCACCAAAAAGCTAGAACACTGCAACAATCCGAAATCGTCAATATATAGGTTTTATGACGTACTCTTTGCGAGTGTGAAAAGTTTTGTGCTGTTTTGATGAGTCTGTAAGAAGTTATAATTTCGAGAAAAGTGACAAATTAATCAATCTTGCGATTTCTATAGTAAATTTACAAATCATAACTTTTCCCAGAGACGTGCAAAAAACAGGAACTTTTAGAGCTGCAAAGAATACGTCATAAAACCTATACGATTTCGGATTTCTTTGCAACTTTCGGATTCTTGGTGACCTAAGGCCTCGGACAGAGTTCATGCGATTGGTCGTCGCGATTTAACCGCTAAAGACAAGTGTCACGAGTTCATTGCTTGCCGATCTTCATTTCGGTTGTGATAGTTTTCCAATACAACTAATCGTGACTAACTATCAAAACCGAAATACGAGAACATCAGCATGCAATGAACTCGTAATATTTGTCTTGCAGCGATTGAATCGCAAAGATCAAATCGCGTGAACGCTGTCCGAGGTCTACTCATTTCCATTTTTGTCCCTGTAGTGAGCGTGATACAAAAGCTTGGCAAGAAGTATTCAGAAAAGAAAGAATGTTCTTCTCAATAAAATTACAAGCAAGCAAATCTGTGAGATATCGCAGAGTTACAAATTTTTGAAGATGAAACGACAGAACTTTCAGACCGACCTAATATACCGAGCTGAGGAGATCAGGGGATTCATATATACTAAAGAGGATTTTATTTTAGTTTTCATAATCACAAGACCTAAGCTGGAGTACAAAAGTGCCAGCAAGGATCCATACTAATTGCTACAAAAAAACACAATAGTATAAAATTAAAAACTAAATGCCCTTGTTACCATAACAATCTTCCTGCGTTGGATGAATTTCAAATTCAAAATTACAGGCCAGACAAGGTTTTTTGATGTTCAAAGACAGGATGTAGATTTAAAAATCTTAACCAGATAAGGTCATAATGAGGAACCAAGGGGAGCTGACAGTGGTTATACTACGTAGGCCTCGAAGCTCATTGTCAGCTGATTTGAGCATAATATATGAGACGATGCTATGAAATATTTACACTTTAATTTAGTCTCTGCGTAGCTACGCGGAATTACGTCTCTATTGGTATAGAGCGGACAATATAAGAATGTGTATCAAAGTTATGCATTAGGCTGCTTTTCGATGTTCGTATAGAGTGAAAAAATAAGCACTTTTACGCTTTCTGTTCTATAGTAAGAGGTCTATACAGAAGTCAGGGCTTTTGGTGAAGCGCAGTGTGAATAAGTGTAGGTGAGGAAAGATCCAGAGAATTTCGATTAAATTTTAATTTCAGCTTCATTCCTTTGGCGGTTTCAACTGAGTCACAGAAGGGTAAACATACAGCGGGCTGACCACTTTCGGCCGAAATAGATGAGAAAGAACATACATAGATCATCACATTTAGCGTCCATATGCTTTTTATTAATTTTTTTTTGATGTTACATCACTGTTCAAACATAGATCTGAATATTTTGACTCTATGAGAAAGCGTTTCAAAAAATTTAGGTTTTTGGAACGTCCCCAAAAGAAACAAGCTTCAATTGATCTACTTCAAACAAATTTTGGATAAAACCGTGCAAATAATATATCGAATACGAATATCATTAGTCATGTGATTTGTGGAAGTTTCTGAGAAACAGTTATATTCTATGTCGTGACTTCAGCGACTTCAGCGCTAATTTGCATCTATAGTGGGTACTCCTGTCCGAAAAGAGACGTTATGTAAGTCCCTTTTCGCAAGTCTACTAAGCTCATAGCTTCACATAAAAATAAGGCGGAAGATAAAGTGGGCGACAATGAGCAAATGGGAATTGCACCTTTGTAGATTAATTCTAGTAGATTACTGGAATTACAAAGCATTTGCATGAATGACGGACTATAAAAAACTCAGAGCATGCAGTTCCCAAAAAATTTCTCCATAAATGTTAAGGCTCTTCATGCATTTCAGAACTGATTTTTGTGAACCATGAATGTCGTCTTGAGCACTTTAGATTTTGAATTGCAAATAGCCGATAAAAACGAAGGCAAAACAATTGCAAACAGCTGTATTTCGGATAATCAAGAAATAGGTACATGACAGGTAAAAGTCCTCAACCATATAAGGGTCAAATTCTATAGTTTTTTTTGCAAAATCTGGACCAGCGTACTGTAATTAATCTTATAGGGCTTGTGAAGACGAAATTGATGTTTATGCGTTGGGGCTGTGGGAGCGGTATAGGAAATGGGCGCATGGGCGGTGAGATGCTTACCTTCCGTTCCCATACCAGTGTTTAGGAGTCATCTATTAGCAAGCAGTGTAGCGAAGAAGCAGCCTATAAGAGGATCTCCTTACAACATTAGAGAAATGACTATTTTGGGGTAGAGGACATTTACCAGATTTCAGTGTCTCTGTTCTACCCTATGTGTGGCCATCGGAAACCGTAGTACAATTCTGCTAATGAAACCAGAAATCGTATTACGAATGTGTGACTACCGTAAATCGTGTTCTGCCAACGTCGAAGAATGACGGTTTTTTTCGCTGCACAATTAGACGAATTTTCATGCAAACATTGACGGCGCCAACCGGATAAGTCTTTTTTGTAAGTCTGTATGGTGGTCGGATCCATAAACAGTTTTTTTGCTCTATCCATGATCAACAAATTAGGAAATCGTATTTATGGAACAAATCTACTAATTATTGTGGTAAATCAAAGATTCTGTTGAAATTTAGCTTGGCTTGACAACAAAGAACGAAAGAGGTAGAGAAACGGCGAGATGCAGAGGTGCGCAAGTACAAAACGCATCAACTAGCGTTTATTCCCTTCTCATCTTCCTCATTTCATTTGTAACAATATAAGCATAGCATAGCTGAAGATAAATAGGTGTGGATACGCAATACTTTACTCGTAAACGAATTTTCGTGTAGTGAAACATTTTGGAATGGAAGTGAAATCGGCCGCAGCTTAATCTTGTTGCGGAGAGGGGCTTGGCTGCATGCGAAGTAACGGAGAGCTTATAACGCGTTGCTAATGAGGTTCGCAAAAAATGGAGGATTTTTTAGCACGCTAATGAGAGATGCAAAAAAGCGTCGAAACATCGACAAAATATAGCATACAAAACAATTTATTTTTCAAAAGAGTCAGAATTTTCCGACACACCCTGCCATAACAACAATGTGCTACTCTTCCTTACAATTTTTTTACGGTTAGTGAAGGCTGTGAGAAGTTTTCGCGAGATCGACAACCAAGGTCAAGCAAGGGGTGTGGCACACGATCGCTGGTTACGACCCCCCCCCCCCCTGATTGCTGTCTTAATAAGACCCCCCCCCCCTGAACTATACACTTGAGATAGCATTACTTGAAGGCCCTGTCAAACAAAATGGGCAATATGTGCATAATTAGCATGTCAAGTAACCCCTGTAGACATAGTGTGAGCGAATTCTGAAGATTCAAGATGCAAGGCTACCTAAGTGAAATGGTCAAATTCCAACATGGTTAACTTTGTTTCAAAGGTGAATTAGCTATCCGTTTTTGCACTCAAGACAAAGCACTACTCCTTCTTTGTCCACTTCAGGAATCCCGCTTCAGAAGACCTCCAAACTGTGGAATTAGAAGCCAACCAATATCTCGTTTTTCCCATTTTTCGCTTTTGATCGCTGTGCTTTCACTAAATATTATTTAGAGCTAAGAAGACGAATCAGGCTCAAATCACTCCTGTGAAAACTAGGAGACCTAGGCTATCGATCCATATAAATATGGTTCGCTAAAAATGTTTTTTTGACGTAGTTGTTGGGGTGTGGCGCACTCCATTGACTATATCAAAAAAAAACATTTTTAGCGGACAGTATTTATATGAATCGATAGATTAAACTTTGTAGATTCCATAGGACTGTTTGGAGGCTGATTTGTCTTCTCAGCTCTAATATTTGGTGAAAGCACAGCGATC